CTGAAATTGTTCATGACCAACTAGCATCTTATGCTAGAAACTCGAGAGCTTGAAAGGCTGACTTTTATGCCCTGACAGTATAGCACCGCAGTTAGGAGAGAGAGCTCAGGAATCACGGGGTCTTGGTTCAGAATCTTGGCCCTCCATTGTACAGCTGTGTGACTTCAGGCAGATAACTTATCCTCTGCCTTTGAATTTCTTAATTTGTAAAGTGGGGGGAGTTTACCTTTTGAAACGGTTGTTAAGTATTAAGTTGCCTGTGAAGGGCTTGGCACAGTGCCTGGAGCCTAGTAAATGCTCAATACATGTTATATATCATCATCATTATTATTCTTTTATAACTACCCAAGGACCTTCTGTTGCTCTTAGCCTCAGCACATGGAAATCAGATTAGAACATGAAAAAGTCTATCCTTGAGCAAATACTCTGAACCCAGCAGCTCTGTTTGTGTTAAAAGGAACTAGATTTCACATCCAGCCAGAGCCAAGCGATTCCAAGGTTGGGGAGATACAATGAGGCTGCTGGAGAAGTTGCCTAACTTCCTAGCATCAAGCCATAAGATAGCAAAAATTGAACCTGACCAAAAGCAGATACTATGTATCTGTCACACACATACACACACACACACACACACGCAAGCATCCCCCTCCCACAGCAAGCTGTGAAAAATCATTAGAAGTTTGTATGAGCAATAACCACCTATTGAACCCACTCATGTAGGGGTGCAGCTCCATGTGGGTTCTTTGTCCAAAAATGTTCATTTCTTGATTTGATAATGGAGCAGTGTGTATGGTTTCCATTAAGAGTAGTTAAGTGCACTGCAAAATGCAGAGGAATTAATAAAATACAGCCAGGTCACCCATGTATGAGGAATGTGCTTGAGCATAAGCTGGGGACCAATGTGTTTTGGCAGGTAAACTGGTGCTTGAAGGTGTCAAAGATCTATTGAACTGAAGGATGGATTGGTGACCAGTTAGAGGGTATGTGGTATCATCCAATGAATTGCTGGGAGGTTGTGGGAGTCCTTGAATCACTGGGGACTAGAGCTGGGCGAGAGACTTGACAGTGAAGGAGATATTATTTAGGACTGCCATCGTTCTTAGAAGATTCAGCTGTGCTTAAGACTGGAGATAGTGATGATGGGCCCCAAGAGGCCTGTACATAAGAAAAAGGTCAGACTCGTGTGGTTATATGGTTAGGACTCCATATTATAGGCAGGTCAAAGTAGATAAGAGTAAGGGGTGAGTTGGATCATGCCTCAGGAAAGCATCTTAATATTAGGAGGCATGATGTTACAGTACCTTAGACTAGGGGTTTGGTTTTAGACAGATCTGGATTTGATTTCAGCTCTGCCTTTTACCGGATAGGTGAGTCTGGAGAATTTATTTAAACTCGCTAAAGCCTCAGTCTCCTCGTCTGTAATAATGATACGGATAATAATAGTACCTTTCACAGAAGATTGTTATGAGAATTAAATGAAATAACATGTTGTAAGCACTCGATAAATGTTAGCTGCCATCATTGGTGGTGTGTGCATGCTCAGTGGTGTCCAATTCCTTGAGACCCCATGGGTTCTTCTGTCCATGGGATTTTCCAGTCAAGAAAACTGGAGCAAATTGCCATTTCCTTCTCCAGGGGAATCTTCCTGATCTAGGGATGGAACCAGCCTCTCTTACATCTCCATGTCTCATTTGGATATAACACACGATATGTCTTTGCCCTTCTGAATGAAGTCTGCTGGCACAGCTTAGCTCTATCCATCCAGACTGAAACTGAATCTCGAAAGACTCCATTTGTGGAGGTGATCCTTTGAAGAACTCTTCATCTGCCCAATAGATGAGCCACATTAGAGATGAGCAATTTTAACATTACTCCAAAGTGAGATGTGAAAGAACTATTCCTATGTACTATCAAGGGTGAGAAGAGACTGGGAAGACCTTGAATTCTTTCTCTCATTAGATGGATGGAGCAGGCACCAATAACTGGCATGTATGATATAGACTTGTGGCATAGTCTCTCAAAACCAGTTTCAGATTATGTCTACTTTCCCTGTCAATGTGAAGAGCAGGCAGGGTAGAATCGAAGCTTTAATACAATCAAAATGACTTACAGCTGCCATTTTTTCCCTGCCTCTGTGACCTTTCAGAGAAAATAAATCAGTAGGTCTAGTCCAACACACCCTTCACCAAACCCTGCTAGTTTCATATTCTCTTGTTGGTTGCTAAGAGATTATTGAATTCACCCCAGCATCTTTTCAGATATTGATGTTAATGAGTTCTAATTACCAGAAGTCATCTTTTCCTTTTGGAAAGATGGGCAGGCCATTTCCTTCTTTTAATTCTTGGGCATTAAATTCTGTCCTATAGGATGATATTAGAGATAATAATTGATGAGTTTTCAATAATAACTGCTAATTCTTAAAATACCATGAGATAAATGTCAAGCAGTTTCATGCATATTTATGGAACGTTTAATCTTTCATTTGAATAGTTCCACTTTTTATGTTCTTGTGGGTTCTGGAAGTATAGGGCAACTTTTTTTCCATCACTTAATATGAAATTCACCAAGCAAGACCCTCCCACATAAACATAGACCAATAATCTCAGGTTTCCACCACCTTCTGTGCCTTAATATATAATGTTCTATAGTTTAATGAATCAAGCTACCCACCCTACTCCCACTAGGACTGCCACTCCCAGGATACCGTTTATGTATGGTACACATAAATGAGTCTCTGCTCCATCCTTTTAATCTGTATGCAAAATATAAGGTTTGTGCTTATTTCCACTGTTTGCCAGAAAACTTTGGTAGCTTGCATCAGATTCTTAAAGGGTCTGTTTACTAAAGACACATTAAGAGCCCCTATAAAGAACATAGGGCTTCCAAGGTAGCTCAAGTGGTAAAGAATCTGCCTGCAATGTGGGAGACCCAGGTTCGATCCCTGGGTAGGGAAGATCCCTTGGAGAAGGGCATGGCAACCCACTCCGGTATCCTTGCTTGGTGAATTCCATGGACAGAGGAGCCTGGTGGGCTACAGTCCATGGGGTCACAAAGAGTCAGACACAACTGAGTGACTAACACTCTTCACTTTCATAAAGAACACACAGCCTCTGCTACTTAGACCTAAGCTTTGTTATCGCCCTAGCCTACCTTTGGAAATGGAGATGGTCAGAATGAATGCATCCTAATATCTGCCTTAAATGACTCTGAAAATGTAATTGCACATAATCTTAGTCTCCTTCAGCATATATGCCCAGAAGTGTGATTCCAGGTCTCAAAACATCCCCTGTTTCTACTTCACTCTCTTGTTTCAAGTTGTAGTGCCCAGAATAGTTCTTCCTAAGCATCATTAGGTTATTCTCTTTTTCTTCTTCAGAAACCATATTCTTTTTTCTTCAGTAATTTCCAGTAGATAGCAAATTTCTTTTCTTTTTCTGTAGTCATTCTTTATTTACCCCTGATTGCAATTTGGAATGACGTTCTACATTTTGAGACTGATGGAACTGGCATGGAGCCAATGGTAAACTTACCTGTCAGTAGAAATTTCTTTTATTCTTTGGTTTTTATTTGCACATCATGGTGGTGGGCTGTGTCCAGTGGTACTAAACCCCCAGCACACCTTCAGAATCACCTAAAGAGCTTGGAAAACCTGGGAAAGTCTGGGCTCGACTCCAGAGGATTTACATTCACTTGGCCTGAGATGGGGCCTGAGTGTTAACATTTTAGAAGCAAATTTGCAGCAATGTAGAGATGGTTGGATAGCATCACCAATTCAATGGACCTGAACTTGGGCAAACCCTGGGAGATAGTGAGAATCAGGGAGGCCTGCTGCAGTCCATGGGGTCTCACAGAGTCGGACATGACTTAGCAATTGAACAACAACCACAGGTGATGCTATCATACTTTATTTTTTCGGGTATAATGACAGATACAGATTCTTTTTCACTTAGGTTGGGAAATTTCATTGAATAGCGGCTGAAAGGCCAGTTTCAATTGGGAAAATTCATTTATATCTGTGGTAAACTTTATTTTGATGAAAAGTTGCACAACCATTTTACCACCAGATGAAAAACAATGAGGATCTTTTAAAAAGTTAATGTATTAAAATGAAGCAAAAAGCATGTATATATCAGGCTTTGTTTTGAATAAATCTTTCCCCCAAGTCCTTAATGTAAAATCTTGTGTTATAACTTTTAAAGCCATAATGATAAGAGTGCTAAACTGTGGACTTAAAAGTAGGTGTGTAAATACTTTTACACTGGTCTCTTCCAGCAGGAACTCATCCAGCCAGCAGTGTTAGGGCCTTTTAAAGGATGCTTTGGGACTTGGCTAAGATTTTGGCTTCCCCGTGGGTAACTGGGATTGCCAGGTGGCACTAGTGGTAAAGAACCCGCCTGCCAATGCAGGAGACATAAGAGATGCAGGTTCAATCCCTGGGTCCGGAAGATCTCCTGGAGGAGGGCATGGCAATCCACTCCAGTATTCTTGCCTGGAGAATCCCATGGACAGAGGAGCCTGGCAGGCTATCGTCCATAGAGTCGCAAAGAGTCTGACATGATGGAAGTGACTTAGCATGCACACACGTGGGGTAACCACTTCTTTTCTCTCCTCAGATGGTACTCCTAGCCCGGTGTGAGGGACACTGCAGCCAGGCGTCACGGTCTGAGCCCTTGGTCTCCTTCAGCACTGTCCTCAAGCAGCCCTTCCGCTCCTCCTGTCACTGCTGCCGGCCCCAGACGTCCAAGCTGAAGGCACTGCGGCTGCGCTGCTCAGGGGGCATGCGACTCACGGCTACCTACCGATACATCCTCTCCTGTCACTGCGAGGAGTGCAGCTCCTGAGCCTGCTGTTGAGTGGCTTCTGGATGGGACAGACCCTCCCTCTTGCTGAGGCAGTTCAACCAGCCAGGGAAGGACTGGCAAGGGAAGGGTTAAGGCAAAAAAAAAAAAAATGTAGCAATTCCCATGGGATTCTGCATATTCTAGTAATAAAGAGTCTACATGCTTGTTGACAGAGATACTCTGGGAACTTGTTTTCCATTCCCATCTCCTTTCCCTGGTACAATTTCTTTTGGTTCCTTTTCAGATTTGGGCATTTCCCCCTTTGGTGCTGAATGCCATCTGGGTTTCCAACAATTCAGCATTCGTGGGAAAAGTGGGCTCCCAGGCAAGAGTGGGTCAGGCTGTCACAGTTTTAGTATTAATGACGGAAGCATTTGCTTTGGAAAGCAGGAGAGCCCAATTCTTTCTGGGACATCCTCTGGCTTTTTTTGTTTTTTTTTTTTTAAGTCTCGTCATTGGGTCTAAGGTTGCCCTTGCTGCTAAATATTACCAATTTCAAATTCTGGGCACCAAGCATGTGGATATGTTTAGCCAGGTTCATTCATAGCCAGCTAACTGATGTTAAAATCACTAACAAGCAGATTCTCCTATGTGATGCTGGAACTCGTGATAGCCATCATTATTATTCAGAAGTGACTTTGGGAAAGTAAAAGTGGCATAAAGAATTTGTCACCTTGAAGCTCTCTCAGATAAATTATGGTAACGTGTAGTAAGAGAGCAGACTTTTAAAGACCTGCACAAATATGGATCCTGCACTGACTTTGAAAAAGGCATATATGTACTAGTGGCATGGAAACTGCTCTATACTCATGCATGCAAATTAGACAACCAAGTACAAATATCTCTGTGGGTGTGCTATAGCTTTAGCCATGTCATGGGCGTCATTCTCTCATATCCACTTGTCCATGGGAAGCTTGCTGCCAAAAATGGTGGCTTGGCTCACCTTCTTAATATTTGGTTCAAATAGATTTTGGTCCTTGAGGCTCAAAATTGGAGTTATTCCCATGTTTTGAAATAAAAAGAGAGTATCTTCAAAATCTTGATGGTGTAAGGATTGTTTTTTCCTACTCAACTACTAGGACGCATCCCCTGTGGTGTGTGAGGGGGATCCAGAAATAGAGGGAGATAGGGTTTCAGAAGATACTGTGTGGGGGCATTTGTTTGAAAATCAATGTACTAAGGTAGTGGGGGCTTATGAAATGTGGCTTTTAGTCTCAGAATCTAGCTTATTGAATGGGCACAATATCTGGTGCATCTCTTAGGCACTATTCTCAGAAGAAAATAAGTATCCATAAATGAAGTTTGAAGAACCAGAAGGAGAGCAAATAGTTCACAGACAATGGTTTCTATGCCATTCTGTGCCCATTCATCCAGGGCCAACGGTACTTAGGAGCATTGGAAGAATACTCATGGTGCTGGCATAGTGCTGTGTCCACTTTAAGCATCTCAACACTAACCCAGGCTGGCAACTCAGTTTCCAAGGCAACTGTGACACCTTGCTGTCTTGTTTCACCAGAGATGATGGTGCATCCCACTGTTAGTACAGTTAACACATGAATTACTTTTCCAGTAGTGATGATGGTTTTGTACATTCTTTGGCATAACTTTCACATGTTTTAAAGAAAGCCAGCAGGGTTAAATTTATATCTGTGGCTTTGGAACAGAATGAGACTAATACTATTAATCCTTGACCTTGATCTTAACCTTCATGGTGACAGAGCCAGCCAGTCCACTAAATTGGAGGTTTTCCTCATTCTGAAGGCAAATGTGAAGTGGTAATTTGGACCATTATAGAAGGGAAATTTTGTCATAAAAAAAATTAAATTTAACACCTAAAGTTAAATTGTTATAATTCATAACTGATAACGAAAGTATTAACTGCTGGTCACATTTATAGCTATTCTTTCATGTCACTAATCAAAAGTGTTTCTAGTCTTAAAATATCTCTTCCTGGCTTGGAAAACAATTTGCTTTGAGAGTCATATGCCCTAAACTAAATCTTTATTTCGTTGCTACCAGTGTGGGACTGGAGAGGGGCAGTTTTATGACTCACATTTTCCAAATTCTCTGAAAGCCATAGAAAATGTTTCCTTCCAATTCTATTACGTGGTCTATTGTCAAAGTTTCCCCCATGGAAAAAAGTAGAATATGCTTGGAACGTTAGAGAACAGTGGCATTGGGAGGGCCATTAAAAAGCTTCCATTCTCCTCTCTCTGAGCAAATGGAGACCTGCAGAAACCCTGGAATTTGCCCAAAGTCATACACTTTGTCTTGGATTTCAGACTAGAACCCAGACTTCCTGTTCTCCACAACCATGGGTTCTTCCCTTCCCATTACCCCTGAAAGGAGTCTTGCTTTTCTCAGGATCTCGGCTGTTGACTATGGTGAATGGGCTGGAAAAGAGCATAGCGAGACAGAGTAAAATTTAATGGGGCATATCAAGGCTGAGAAAGAGGAAAAAGAGTTATAGTTTTCCAAAAGACCTAAAAATAGCCCTGGGAACAGAGAGAATTTAGACATTACTGGATAGTAAGTTACTATGGAATTTGCATTATATCTTTAAAAAATTAAACATATTTAGCCATATGTTAATGTCTACCCCTAAGGATTGAGAGATAACTAAATGAAAACATTGATCTGTTAAAAACACTGCGTTCTTAAAATGTCGAAGGAATGTCTTCCCCATTTGCTATGAATGAATAGAGGGAAATTAAAATATGTTATAATCTTAGCAACTTACATCTTTAAAATGTGTATGATAATCCACAATGGTGGAGGGCAAGCTTCTTAAAAGCTGATCTTCAGTTCAGTTCAGTCACTCAGTCATGTCCTACTTTTTGTGACCCTATGGACTGCAGCACACCAGGCTTCCCTGTCCATCACCAACACCCGGAGCTTACTCAAACTCATGTCCATTGAGTCGGTGATGCCATCCAACCATCTCATCCTCTGTCATCCCCTTCTCCTCCTGCCTTCAATCTTTCCCAGCATCAGGGTCTTTTCCAGTGAGTCAGCTCTTTGCATGAGGTGGCCAAATTATTGGAGTTTCAGCTTCAGCATCAGTCCTTCCAATGAATATTCAGGGCTGATTTCCTTTAGGATAGCATAAGGATTTCCTTTAGGATAAGTTGATCTTACCCTTATAATTTATAAGCATTTAGTAATAATGTGTTAATAGTGCAGTAGAAAATATAGAGGTTTATGGACTGAACTGATTTTCTCGAGTTCTCAATTTCCCAGACCAATCACTTTAGTTTTCTTCATGAAACCACCTGAACTTTCCTCAGAAGCTTAGAATGAAGAACAATTCAACTAGCTTGGGTCTTGAGGAAATAACAATTGGTTTTCTTCTAAAAAATGTTTGCTCATCCACTCAACCCATGGTTTTGTATTAGGTAGAATGTGGTGCCTACATGTTATGACTGGGGAACTGTTTAGGTAAGTTGATTTCTTTCTTGTGACCTTGGAGAAGTTAAGATACAGATTTACTTTTGGTTACTTTTTCAGGCCCCATTGAAACATACACACTTGAATAAGAGAGCTACACAAGATGAAACACCAAATGCATGGGTAGTTGGGAAGGCTTAGATCAGAAATGGAAGCCATACTCTGCTGATGCTGATTCATGACCCCAGGACACAGCCACATCTGGGTAGACAGACAAGCCCATTCCCTTCAGGAACTAGAATAATGGAGAGGCTTGGATCTGGACAGAAAGGTTCTACCCAAGCTCTGCCATAGATATATTGTTACATCCCAGAAAGACTGCCCATTGAAACACCTTAGTAACATCTGTTTTAATGTACAAACAAGTACCAAGCCACCACTTGCTGAAGGACAATAGTTCATAAGAAAATGACATCATATGTCAACAAACCAAAGTTTTCCCTGAACTCTTCACTATATTTATGAAATATTTTGGTAGATTCTACCAGAAATCTATGAAAACATGGGTAAATTTTTTTACTCAATTATGAATGTAATTTCAAATTTCTCATTGATCAAAGACATGTTAATGCCATCTTCTCACATGGTAGACAGAACATTTAAAATTTGGTGACCAGGGTGGACATGGACATGCATCACCAAGGAAGGATTTGTTGCCTCAGCTGTCAGTCTTCTCCAAGACTGCCTCAACTGCAGAGTCACCTTGCTCAAGGGTATGCTCTTCCAGGGGTGGCTTTCACATCCAGTGACTAATGTCGGTGGAGTCATAAGAGTCTGGCTACATTACTCTGACGAAAGACGACTCTAGCCAGAGCTGTCCAACTGGGTTGGCTGAGGCATGTCAGCTCTACTTCTCTTTCTGGCCAGGCGTGCTTCTCTCTTTGTGTTTGTGATGATCCCTAATAAACACCTTGCATCACAAGCTCCATCTTAACTTCTGAGTCTTGGGAACCAAACCTGCAACAATAACTTTTACATATTTTATTGGCCTGGAAAAGGAAGCAAGTGCACCCAAGCCATCTTGTCTTCTGAAGTGGCCCATAACATTTAGGGTTCAAATTAATGTTTCTACTTCCTCTAAATGAACAGCTTCAACATATGTACCAATATCTAAATGCTGGAGATACTGAGGTGAAAAAGCCATAGCCTTTATTTTCATATGTGTACAACCTAGAGAGGGTAAGAGATGACTATAATAAGTTCACTGGTGACACATAGAGATAATCCACAAGCAGATGTTCTTGTGTGCTTGGTTTTAAGGAGGCCGTTTTTAAACCAAGGGTCTATGACTTTCAATAATAACATTATAATGGTACAGCACTTGCACAGATGGTATCTCATCCTTATGAGGTAAATTAATTACTACAAAAATCTCCTGGATAAGAAACCAGAGGTTCTTTGCAATTCTGTAACACCTTCTCTTTTTTTCCTGAAACTTGAAAACAGAAGGCAATGACCACCAAACCATCTTGGGTTGGCGTCTCTTAGTTCTCATTAGCAAACTACCATCCCAGAATGTAAAGAACTTATTGACACAAAGCACGAGGGGTTTGATTCAATAGAACTTTAGAGAATATGCTATTTGAATATAAGCTTCTGCAGAAAATAAATATGTTTCAAATTATATATGAAAACAAAGCTGAGCTTGTGAATTTAAAATCCTGTCATATTTGGCTGTAATCTTTTGAATAGCATCAATATTTTCATGTTATGTATACATGTTAACGTGAATGTTTTATTTTAAAATTGTTGAGAGTTAGACATGGCTCCCTTAGTGCAGTTTGACTTGTGTGGCCTGTCATTGTCATCATTGCTGCTGTCATCATTTTTAAACTTGATTAACAGAGCATAATGAAGCAGACATTGAGCTTAGCACTTTCTCTGCTTTATCTCATTTAATCCTTCCAACAGACCATGAGGTTAATATTACTCTCACTTTACAGATAGTACAAGTAAGTTCTTATGGTTTCTAACCATTCAGACTTTCTTTGGTATCCGAGAATTCTTCATTATCTTCA